GGGAAAGACAGAGAGACAGCAGCCCAATAAAGTGTTGACAGCATGATCCACTCCTACTTTCAGCCAGCCTCCAATCATGGGCATGGATGCATCCAGTACCAGGGAGATCTTTGGACACGAGCCTAGAACACTCCCACGTGGGTCAGCCTCACAGAGTGTCACGCTTTTCTGCTGCCCCACTGTCTGGCTCCTTAGTTCTTAGATGATGCTTTTATGTTTCAGAAATTTTTCAGAATTTCAGGAAGTATTTCTTGGTTCTTTTGTCCTTGCAAGCTATGTTAGGTATTCTTTATCTCTCTGTCATAATTCTACCTATTGCATTTACTACAGTGCTTTGTAACTGCTTTTTATATTACACTTAAGAATGTTTTGAGGCAAGGGCCATGTCTTATTCATGTTTACTGTCCTAATACCTACTACACCAGGCATGTACTAGAGACCTAATAAATAATTGGAGAATTAAATTTAAGCCTGTAGCATTGGATGTTAAGTTGTTTAATGATTAGTTGACTTTAATTCAGAGATTAAAGAAGTTATATGGATGTGTCTCAAGTGTACCCCCTCCACTCCCCATCTACCAGTAATTTTTCATTAAGGAATTTTCCACCCTTAAAACTTAAAAATTTTAATTAAACATTAAAAGCCTGGTGTTTTTTTTAAAATAGAATTGAGATAATCTTCTTCCCTTTTTTTAAAATAGAATCGAGGAGATAATCTTCTTCCATTTTTGCGAAAATTTATTGCATCCTTCTTTAAGCCTGGGTTTGAGAAGTATAGTAACTTGGATCTGTTTCGGTAAGTTGTAGAACTCTGGATTTATTTATTTATTTTTAAAATTTTTGCTATAGTGTGCATGCTCTCCCTGGAGAGAGAAAGAGTAAGCACCCCCAAGGGAGATGGCCACGCTGCAGTCCTTTCTTCTCCATTCTCTTCTTGGGATTTTGGACAAACATGTACATGTGCTGGTGTGTTTTCAAGCCACCAGTCTGGGGACTTGAACTGCACAGTAGGTCATGTGGGATCCAGCCATTGAACTGTGATAAAAGCAGCTAGTCCAATTGTAGAACTCTTGATTTGTAGAGGACAAAGAGATTAGTATAGTTCTTCAGAAAGATGGTATTTTTTCTGTGAATTCATTTTCATTTTAGAATGACTTTTATACTTGAATGCACACTTACATGACTCTTAAGAGGGCAGTAAAATAAAATAATAAAAATGGAGACAAGATGTAAAATACTTTCATGTTTTTAGGAGTAAAGGCACTGTATAAATTAAGATTTGCATTAAGCCATAGTAACTCATTTTTTTCTTATTTTATTGGTATTGTTAATTTTAGCACTTAATACTATAGCAACTATCCTGAGAAATTTCAATTATTTTAAAATTAACTTTTAAAATTATTATAGGTTTTTCCCATTGGGCACATGCACTCACTGGAGAGAGATGGGAAACGAGAGAGAGAGAGAGAGAGAGAGAGAGGGAAAATAAGAACTCACCCCTTTGGGACCAGTAGATGATGCAGTGGTTATGTTACTAGACTTCCACATGGTCGATCACAGTTCAAGTCCCAGATCTGGCAGCTTGAAACTCACACTAGGCATGCATGCATGCTCAAAATCCCAAGAGGAGAATGGAGGAGAAGGGATTGTTGCATGGCCATCTGCCTGGGGGAAGGGGGGGTGATTTCTCACTTTCTGTCTCTTTTTCTGTCCAGTGAGTGCATGTGCCCAATAGCGAAAATCTCTCTTAGAAAAAAAAAAAAAAAATCACCCCCTGAGGGTGATGCCACTATCCCTTCTCTGTTCTTTTCTTGGGATTTTGAGAATGCATGCAAACATACCCTTGTGTTTTTCAAGCTGCCGGGTCTAGGACTCAAACTATGGAATCGGCCATGTGGGATCCTGTGCCTTAAACACCATGTCACCTGCTGGCCCCTCAGTTTCAATTTATATATTTAAAAAAAATTTTTTTATAGGTTTTTGCCATAGGGCACATAAGCTTGTTGGAGAGAGTCAGTGAGAGGGAAGGTGAGAAATCATCTTCCCCGAGGTTGGCCATGCCACAGTCCCTTCTCTGTTTTCTTCCTTGGGATTTTGGGCACTCACTTGCATACGCTACTGGCATGTTAGGATTCTTTGTTCATATAGAGCTCTGTATTTACTGTCTTTGCTTTGCTGAGAGTTCTTGTTAACATTAAGAATATATAGCAGGTAACAGATAATAAAGTTGTTTTTTTTTTTAAGTTCTTTTACCTTTCTCATCTCTGTTGGGGCCAGCAAACTTTTTTTCTTTTTTGAAGCCCAAAAAATAAATGCTTTAGAGTTGCAGACCCTATGGTCTATCTTCTCTACAATGCTTTGTAGTGAGAAAGCAGCCTTAGACAATGTATAAGTGAAGGGGTGTGTCTGTGTTTCATGAAATTTTATTTACAAAAAGTAAGCATAATTTGCTGATTCTGAGTAAAATAATACATCATTGAGAAAGTCATGACGTATTTTTCTGTGCGAAAATGCATCATTACTTTTCTGATGATCCAATAGTATCAGAAGGAAAATATCTGTTATACTCTTATTATATGTTAGGAGGAACTATGAGAAGGAAGATCTAAGCTAAATATTTACTAAACAAAATTTCTTGTTGAAAAATGTCGATCAGCAAAAATGAAACCTTGATTTTTATGTCAGCAGGTCTAATGCTTGCAAGTGTCTTTTCCCTTTTGGTGCTCCCTTTCTACTCCTTTCTTCCTATCCTTCCAGTGTAGCAGTGTTATATTGAGAATTTTATTTAAACTCTAATTTTATTGAGTAGGTGGTTGGCATTTTATCTGAAACTTGGGGTCACTTCCCCCCCCTTTTTTTTAGAGAGGGTTTTTTTTGTTATAGGGTGCGTGCGCTAGCCAGAAAGAGAGACAGACAGAGAGATAGAAAGCGAGAAATCACCCCCGAGGGAATGCCCACGCTGCAACCCCTTCTCCATTCTCCTCTCGGCATCTTGGGCACACACGCACATGCGCTTGGCGTGACTTTAAGCCATAGGGTCCGAGACTCGAACCATGGTCAACTACATGGGAGTCCAGTAACATAGCCATTATGCTAACTGCTGGTCCCAGAGATAAGTTCACTGTTAAATGTATTTTGTAGGGATCAGCAGTTAGCGTAATGGCTATGTCGCTGGACTCCCATGTAGTTGACCGCGGTTCAAGAGAAAGAGACAGAAACAGAGAGATTGAAAATGAGAAATCACTGCCCCGGGGGAGGGGGGTGGCCAGCCGTAATCCCTTTTCTTCTCAGAATTTTGGGCACACATAAACACATGAGTAGCATGTGTTTATGTTTGGGTCCGGTACTCGAACAGCAACTGACCACATGCGAGTCCAGTTCTTTAACCACTATGCCACCTGCTGGTCTGAGAAAAATTTTTCTTTTTTTTTCTTTCTTTTTTTTGGGAAAGGTTTGTGCTATAGGGCGCGAGTGCTCGCCAGAAAGACAGAGAGAGACAGAGAGGCAGAAAGCAAGAAATCACCCCCCCCCAGGGGATGGCCACGCCGCAATCCCTTCTCCGTTCTCCTCTCAGGATCTTGGGCACGCACGCACATGCGCCCGGTGTGAGTTTAAACCACCGGGTCCGGGACACGAACCGCGGTCTACTACATCGGATTTCAACAACATAGCCATTACACTAACTGCTGGTCCCACTTTCCCTTCTTTAATTTGAATCTTTACATCTGTCCTCTTACAGTAGCCAGTTTATTTACAGTGATTTTAATGCCCTTTCTGAAATTTTTTCTGCTCTGCTATATGTAAATTAACATCTTACAAATAATTTTAAGTGAAGTAAATTTTTTTTTTTTTTGAGAGGTTTTTGTTATAGGACGCTTGTGCTTGTGTGAGAGACAGAAAGCAAGAAATCACCCCTTGGGGGGATGGCCACGCTGCAGTCCCTTTTCCTCCGTTCTTCTCTCGGGACCTTGAGCATGATTGCACACACACCCAGAATGAGTTTAAGCCACCAGGTCCAGGACTTGAACCGTGATGGACTTCATGGGAGTCAAGCGACATAGCCATTACGCTAATTGCTGGTCCCATGTAATTTTAAAGATAAATCAATAGAAAAGAGTTAAACTCCAAGGGAATTTAACTTAGAGTTTAAACAATCTCTAGAGATTGTTTTACCTTTCCCATATTTAGTTTCTCCCTTGTTTAAATTAGATTGCTTTAACCTCTCAAACTCACCCAAAGGACAACTTCAAGGCTGAACCAAACTCTTCATAGACATACTGGTCTGATCTTCCCTTGGGCATGGACATAATTGATTTAGCTAAAGAACAAGCTGCCAGTTTCTATCTCAAAGATCTTCAGATCTTCTTGTCAGCTTAATTAAGCAGAATAAATAACAGTGTCAATAAAAATCTCAAAATGGATCACCTCCAAATCTTCTCATTGTTTATTAAGTCATCTTGCTTTATTAAATTTTTTATGGGAATAGTCATAGTTTGTAATTCACCTAGAGTTAGGAGCAAAAGGTATCCTGTACTTAGTTTATGTAGCTACTAAAGTCCTTGTTTACCCAAAAATTGTGCATTTTGTTAACTTAGGACATCTTTTTTTTGATTCAAATATTAGGAGAATGATAATAGATGAGGTCATTTTTGGCATTGCCTTACATTGATAGAAATTGTAATTTATAAATATAGTCAAATTTGCTAATAGGAGAAATGAGTGCTCTTTAAAAATTTGAAATACTTTTATTCAAATTTCATGAATAGATGTTGTAAAGCAAAATTCTTAGTACTGTAATATTTACCCGGAATTAAATTCTATCAACTCTCTATGTGATATTTAGTTTGAAAAAGACAGGCAGAAAAGAACCAGATGGGGTAATTTTCATATGTTTCAAAACAATTTGAAGATGAAGTAGATAGTCAGGAAAGTTAACTTGGTAATTTCATTCACTTTATTAAAGTTAGCTCAACTTTATAGGGTTGTTTTTTTTCTTTAATTTTTTTTTTTTTAAGAGAGATTTTGCTATAGGGCACATGCGCTCACCAGAGAGACAGACAGAAAATGAGAAGTCATGCCCCAGAGGAGAATAGCCACACCACAGTCCCTTCTCCATTCTCCTCGTGGGATTTTGGGCATGTGTGCACACATGCTCAGTTGAGTTTTAATTCACTGGGTTCGGGAGTCGAACCCGCGGGACGGGGCGGGGGTGGGGGGGACTCGAATGCAGTTGGCCATGTGGAAATCCAGTACCCTTGACCACCCCGCCACCTGCTGGCCCCAGAATATACTTTGATATCATGTCTAAAATTAAACCTAAATTGTGTGTGTATGTGCATCTGTTTGATTTAGTGAAAGATGGGACTTTTCAAATATCATGTTTTATAACTCTTAAGGAATCTTTATAAAAAAAGTGCAAACTTTGTGGGAATATCTAGATACTTGGTAGTCTCAAATTTGTTCTTTTATATTTTTAATTAACTTTAATCAAATAATGGACATTTGTTTAGTTTGGGGTAGGAAAAAATTCAGAAAGACAATAAAATTTTGAGTAAACATGTGCTCCTAAACATGAGAGCAAAGAAGTATGGTGTACTCCAGAAAAGTATATCTTATAAAAATCATAAAAATTTATTTTATAAAAGTATTTCGTTGAAATTCTTTTTTAAAAAAAGTATTTGTAATCCATATGTGTGGAAACATCTCAGACAATATTTGGGCTTTTTTCTAGGTATCTCTTAAATATCCCAGGACCACTTGACATTCCAGCCCATTTATGTAAAGGGAATTTTGATGATGATGTGTTTAACCAACAAGTTCCTTATTTGTGGCTGATTTACTGGTGAGATGTTATCTGTTGTGGGGAGAAATGTTTCATATAAGTCCTGCATTTGCTGTTTATTAATAAGTTATGTTGCATTAAAGTCAACCTGATGTTAAAGTTATTAAAGCAAAATTAAAGAGATACTCAGGTTTCGTACATACCAAAGAAGAAAGATTGAATGAAGAATGTCATTGTATAAATACCTGTATATTCGAAATATACTTTGTCATTTCTTTACTCAGTATTATAATTGAACTGTGAGCATGCTTTTTTTCTTCATTTTGTAAACAGCCTTTGTCATCCACTTCAATCAAGTATTAAAGAAACAGTAGAGGCATATGAGGCAGCATTAGGGGTGGCTATGAGATCTGATATCGTACAGAAGATTTGGATGGAGTAAGTTTAGTTCCTCTTAATAAGAATGGCATTTTGTCATAAGGGAATGTGGTGGGGAAGGGGAAAGTCAGCTTTCTTAGTGAGCGAATTAGTGTTTTAATTATTCTAAATGATTGTATTTTTCTTTTGGCAGTTATCTTGTCTTTGCCAATAATAGAGCTGCTGGATCCAGAAACAAAGTCCAGGAATTCAAATTTTTTACTGATTTAGTGAATAGATGTTTGGTTACAGTCCCTGCCCGATACCCTATTCCTTTTAGCAGTGCTGATTACTGGTCCAACTATGAATTTCATAATAGGGTAAGAACTTGAACATTTTTTTCTTTATTTGGTTGTACAACAGCAGATTTTAAAAAATGACAGCAGATTCTAATTTTATATCAAGAGAGCTTTTTCCAGGAGAACTTTGCCAGCATTTGCTGTTATTCCTGACTATGTTTCTTATCTCTTCAAAGTCTAGGAACAGAGCCCTTTAAGGCTCAATTAATACAAAATGTGCAAGTTGATTATGTTTAAGAAAATTTTCCACTGAAGCAAAATTGAAGGCGTGTTAAGGTTTTAATACATTAGGAAGACAGATTAAACAAACGTTTCTAGTGTGTTATCTAATGTTTTGTTTAAGTAGTCAAAAATTTTACTCAATAGAAATTCTGTAACATCAAAATAAGTAAGAAAGCTTATTTATTGTAACTATTCTTTTTGTTAATATTTTGTTATGCAAATAGACACAAAACACAAGAAAGTTGAAATCAGGTCCTGCCTAAAGTTAAGAGTATAATCTGATTAATGATTTATTTATATATTGATCTTACAGGTAATAAAGGGTTTATTATTTCTTTTAATTTATTTTCAGAGACCCCTATCAGTCAGTGTCATGTAGGCTAAAATTTCTTACTAAAGCTCAATGTAGACGAAAACATACATATATTTTGTTTATTGGGGTTTTTTGTGGGGGAGTTGGGGTGGTTCTGTTGTTAATTGGGATAACCAATTATTATGCTTTGTACTTCTATGCCATTCTTTATCCCAGGATCTCAAACCACTTTATGGACATTAAGTCATTTACACACGAGCATTCCATGAGCAAGATGTGGCAGGTATTATTAGCCCTATGACTTGCCCAGCTATACAGCAAGTAAAGGTAGACTCAGGAATGAAAACCCGGACTCCTGGCTCCTTGTCAGTGTTCTGTCCATGGCTGTCATCACTAGACCATATTTCCTAATTCATATTTGGAAAGTCACTAATATAATTAATGGTAGGAACTGTAACTTACAGCATCATACATTATTATAATTATACATTCATGTCTTCAAGACCATTTTGGTTTTCTCATTAAAACGCATAGGTAAGTGGACTTCACATTTTAGTTGCATTCATTTTTACTCCCTCAACCTTTGCAGGTTATTTTCTTTTATTTGAGCTGTGTTCCAAAGACCCAGCATTCCAAAACATTGGAACGGTTTTGCTCAGTTATGCCAGCTAATCCTGGACTTGCACTGAGGTAAGAAAAAGGCAAATTCTTTTGGTTCTCAGCTCCACAGTAATAGGCTGTTCATATAAAGTTATTCTTGGAAAGTCAAAGAATAACCCGATCTTTCACTGTTTCCTCATGGTATATACTACAGGTTGAATATCCCTTATTCAAAATGCTTATACCAGAAGTACTTTGGATTTCTTTTTTTGGATTTTGGAATATTTGCATATACATAAGATATTTTGGGTTATGGGATTCATGTCTCAACAAAGAATTGACTTTTCCTTCATATGTAATTTATGCATATAGCTAGAAGGTAATTTTATACAATATTTTGAGTAATTTTGTGCATGAAACAAACTTTGTGTACATTTAACCATCAGAAAGCAAACATGTCACTGTCTCAGCCACCCACGTGGACAGTGTGGTTCTGGCATCATCATTGTTCCTGAGTACCAGTAAGCAATCTTTCCTATACTTCTTCACATATGAAGAAAAATTGGAATTTTCCATGTGTGGTGTCATATTTGCACTCAGAAATTTTTGGATTTTGGAGCATTTTTTATTTTGGATTTTTGAATTGGGTGTGTTCAGCCTGTACTTTTCATTTCAGAGTTGTTAAGCAATTTTTAGCTATTCATACAAAAGTCAGTATAAAAATCTGGTTGTTTCAGAAAAGAGGGCAAATAGTTCAAGTCAGGTTTATCTGTGTTCCCTGAGCGTCCACTGTTTGTCCTTAGTAGGTGCGTTATAAGCAATAGGCATGTAATAGCAGGGAAATACTGCTTTAGGGATTCTATACTTTCACATAGGTCAGTTACTCTCAAATGCTATTATGCATTAGAATCTGAAATGCTAGTTTAAAATATAGATTTTTGTGCTTGGGCCCTCAATCCACATTTGAGAAACACTAATCTGGAGATTTCATATGGTCAACGAAAAGGAGATTTCTGAACATTTCTTTGTGGTTTCTGCGCTCTCATAGAGTAACCTTTTTTTCACTCTTAGGAAGTGTGCTGTTTCATTGAAAAAGATGCACTGCTAATGGTTTGGCTTCTATTTGTAGAGTCAGTCCTACTGCATCAGTTGTATCTTATGACTATAAGTTTGTTTTACGGATCATAAGATTCTCAAAATATTTATCAGAAATTCCCTTGCATTTTACAGTATTTACGGTATTCCACTTAAAATATATGTGTGTAAAATGTTTTAAGACTTTGGGAAAAATTCAAAAGCCTAATAAGGTTGTGACAAAAATAATCATAGTGTTTTATAATTGAATTTGTTGGCTAGCATACTAATCTATAGAGGTTAATTACAGAAATTTGAATTATGAAACCTCATCTTGGGGCCCACAGGTGATAATAGTGGTTAAGGCTCTCGACTCCCACATGGTTGACCGCAGTTTGAGTCCCAGACCTGGCAGCTTGAAACTTATGCTGGGGCATGTGTGTGTGCATGCCCGCAACCTCTGGAGGAGAATGGAGGAGAAAGGATTGTGTTATGGCTGTCCCTGCTGGAGATTGATTTCTCACTTTCTCTCTGTCTCCCTGATGAACGCACATACCCTCTAACAAAAATCCCTCTTAATAAAAAGGAAAGGAGAGACTAGTAGATGGCTTAATGGTTATGTCGCTGGACTACCATGTAGTCAACTGCAGTTTGAGTCCCAGAGCTGGCAGCTTAAAACTCATGGGGCCAGCAGTTAGCGTAATGACTATGTCGCTGGACTCCCATGTAGTCGACCATGGTTCGAGTCCCGGACCCGGTGGCTTAAACTTACGCCGGGCACATATGTGTGCATGCCCAAGATCCCGAGAGGAGAATGGAGAAGGGATTGTGGCGTGGCCATCCCCCCTGGGGGGTGATTTATCTCTTTCTATCTCTCTGTCTCTCTCTGTCTTTCTGGCGAGTGCACACACCCTGTAGCAAAAACCTCTCAAAAAAACAAACAAACAAACAAACAAACAAACAAAAAACACCTCATTCCAGGCACATGTGCATGCATGCACAAGATCCTTAAAGGAGAGAGTGGAAACGAAGAGACTGTGATGTGGCCTTCCCTTCTGGGGGATGATTTCTTGCTTTCTTCCTGTCTGTCTTTCCAAAGTGAGTGCACATGCCCTATAGCAAAAATCTCTAAAACAAAGAAAAGAAAAAGAAACATCATCATCTTTGCTAAAACATATTTTTACTAGTTTGTATTGTGATAGGCACTTTAGAATATAGGTAGTTTCCTGTTGGGTTTGTTGACAAATCCCCACTTCTATCTTTTGATACTTACTTCCTTGTGGACGTCTTTGTCCTTTATTTAAGAAGGGGAGAGAACTTAATAATCATTGTACTTACATTTTAGTTCAAGAAACATTCCAGATTAAATATACTCTAAGAGAAAAATACCAGGAAATTGGGTGAATGTCAAGTCATTGTTTTTAACACTTTGGGGGCGGAGGACTATTATTTGGAGAAGATGCTTTAGTATTCTGTAGAAATACACTAGCCTTATTTTAATTTGCTGAAGAAAAGCCTAGATCTTAACTGGACCTCTTGCTAGTTTTGCACATTCCTGTCCAAAGGTAATTTTTATAAGAGGCACTCTGGAAACATTTGCTGAATAGCCTTGATGGAATTTAATTGACCAAAATGTACACCTCATCAAACTGTCTGCTCAGAAAGCACACTTGGGGTTCTCTACAATTGCAATGCTTTGTTCATTTTTCTGAATGTACTTTACAGGCTACTTCAACATGAATGGGAAGAAAGCAATGTTCAGATTCTGAAACTTCAAGCCAAGATGTTTACATATAATATCCCAACATGCCTGGCCACCTGGAAAATGTAATGCAACAATCATGTACATATTTTTAGCTATTGCTTTTATTTGTAAGGTTTGCTCCAGACAGGTAAATTTGAAATGACATCTATTTTTTTTCCCTATCAGACAGATCTCTACTCTAATTTAGATTTGTTTTTGACACTTGCTGAGGTTTCATACCAAGAGTGAGTGAGTGCTTAGTAACAGTAGCCTTAGTAACAAAAGCAAAATGGATAGATTTAATTTTCCTTGAAGGAGTACATTTTAGATAACAATACTGTTATAAAATAGATCTGTTAAGACATTTTAAGACCATCTCTTTTGAAATATGGGATTTCATTCCTATTATAGTTCAATTTCTTTTTTCTTTTAAAGGTTTTAGTGCCAGGTATTTTTCACTAGTAATCATGAGTTTTCTTTTTTCTTTTTTAAATGAACGTTATTTATGTTCAAAACACTGGTCTGCTTTATTCTTATAAAGTTGATAAAACTTGTTTAATTTTTCTTTTCACTATAGGTTACACTCCTTGGAATTTTAGCCTGTTACTTTCAGGAAGTTTTGTACTCAGATTCCCACAGTCAGTATTCTGCCAGTGGTGATACTTCATTTTTTTTCAAAGATATATAAATTTTTCTTTTCCCTTTTCTATATTCCTTTTTTTTCCCTTAGAGCCATTGCTGCTGAGATTGTTCTAAAGGGGCAAAGAGAGGTAAGCCATGATTGACTATCACATGGGTCACTTTTTTTTCTAAAAAAAAAAAAAGGTTTTATTTTGTTGACTTCTCAATTTAAAAGGATTAAATTATAGAAGTTAACATTCCAAGAACTGTATATATTTGGAAACCTTAAAACCCAGTGTAACCACTTTGTCCTGAATATTAGTGTGAAGTACCATTCTTTAAGCAGATATGATTATGGAGGTATTTTTCATCATGTTCTGATGGAATTGTGTGTGTATCTATTTTATAGGTCCACCGTTTATATCAGAGAGCCTTACAGAAGTTACCTCTTTGTGCATCCCTGTGGAAAGATGTAATACTTTTTATCTTTTATTTTATCTTGATGTTTTTCTATAAATTTTCTGCATGTGCCATATCCATTGATGTGGTAATGCTCGGACTCTAGCTAAGTCTTACTTCTATGCTTCCCTGTCTTTTGCAGCAACTCTTGTTTGAAGCATCAGAAGGAGGTAAAACTGATAACCTGAGAAAACTAGTTTCCAAGTGCCAAGAAATTGGAGTCAGCCTAAATGAGCTCTTAAATTTAAACAGTAACAAAACAGAAAGCAAGAATCACTGAACATTGGGTGCAGTCAGTTCTAAGTCCTTATAATAATTGCCAAAATTATTTGAATGATTCTTCAAGATTAGGCTGATCCCTGGCTAAGGTCTGTGTAAAGCAGACAAGCATTATTGATCATATCAAGTCCCCTGCAATATCCTATCCTCAAACCGGAAGCAATGAACATGATCCTCTTCAGTTGGATAAATGAACTTCCTGTTTGGCCTGCTTCTAGGCCCTGCCAGATTCTCATAACATCATGTACGTAAGTATAGTTCCTCAAAGTGACTGACGTTTATTTTAATTTTCTTTGTTTTTGTTTTGTTTTTTACTTTCCCCTTTTCTTTACGTTGTGCTATTCCTGATTCACTTGACACTCTCTGATGCCTGAGAGATTCTTGTTTGGGATTTAATTTCCAGGGCTGTGTTTACAGTAAAAAAGCAGGCAGTCCCTTTTAGTTCTTCTTTTTTAAATCTTTTGAGATTCTTCATTTCAGGATTTAAAACTTAACAGTCCATCTTAAGGAAAGTGTAACTGCCATGGCCACAAGTCTGCTAGTTGCACTTGAATGCTCTAACAGGGTTGTTTATTGCCCTTTCTACGTTCTGGACTCCTTGCCGAGACTGTTTAACTTGAAGATTAAAGAAACTATTGCAAATGCCAGTGCATCAGAACCTAAGAGTGGTCAAATATTATGTGCAATTTTTTTGTAAAGAAATTTTAATTTATAATAAAGTTTAACAGTTAAAAGAACAGTTAATATTTGAACTGCTTTGTATTGAAATACTACCTTGTAGTATTAAACTTGTTTATATACAAAATATTTTTAATATAAGTTAACTTTTTAAAAAACGTTGCTGTCTTTATTCACTTTTCACACTCTGGTGGGAAAGGGTTGAAGTAGGATATATAGATATTCAACATCATTATATCAATATTTTTTTGTTCTGAACCTGCCTTCCCATTAAAAAAAAATGCGGTGAGTTTTTAATTTATAAGAAGATGGGTCCTATTCTGTTTTGAGGGCAGTGGATAGATAGAGATACACTACCATTAAATTCCTTGTTCTCAGAAACCACAGTATTTAGAAATTGTCTCCTGACTGTAGTTTGAATAAAAAGCTTAGTGACATGCTGTTTTTCTGTTTTAGAGAGAGATTATTTGCTATAGGGTGCGTGCACTCACCTGAGAGATGGAAAGCATGAAATCACCCTCCCAGGGGGATGGCCATGGCCACACCACAATCCCTTCTCCGTTCTCCTCATAGGATCTTGGGCATGTATGCACATGCACCTGGTGTGAGTTTCAAGCTACCAGGTCTGGGACTTGAACCATAGTTGACTGTGTGGGAGTTCAGCAGCATAACCATTATGCCATCCAGTGGTCCCAGTGATATGCTGTTTTAAGTTGAATGTCAATATGACCAAATATAAAGGAGACCTAGTTTTGTTTTCAGTCTATATAGGGGGAGTTTCTACCTTGGCAAAAAAGGTACTAATGACAGACATACCTCCACACATGTGGTCTTGTAATTATATGCAATTGAATTTTTGGAGACAGCATAGCAGTCTGTAAAGTGCCAGGTGCCAGGTATTGTACACTTGTACATTTGTGTAGTACTTACTCAAAACCATATTTTGGGGCCTTACTAGAATGCCTACCAGACAGTACATACTTGGCTGGTAGATGTGTTTGTTGGGATTAAGAATAAAACTGATTTTATTTTTCACTTTATATATTTTGTTTATTTCAATTTGACCAGGAAGAGACAGAGTGAAAGAGAGAGAAAAGTGAGAAAGCAAGTCTCCAGGTCCAGGACTCAAACTGCGGTTTGCCATGTGGGAGTCCAGCACTCTTAACCACCATACCACCTGCCAGCCCCCTAGAACTCATTTTTTTAAAAAGAGATTTTTGCTATAGACTGTGTGTGCTCAAGAAGAGGCAGAAACAGAATGTGAGAAATCAAGACAGAAAGTGAGGGATGGCCATAATGCAATCCTTTCTCCTCCATCCTTCTCTAAGGATCTTGGGCATACACGCACACAAACCTGGTGTGAGTTTTAAGCCACTGGGTCCAAGACTTGAACTGCAGTTGACTGTGTAGGAGTCCAGTGATATAACCATTAGGCCATCTGCTGATCCCGAGAATAGAACCTATTTTTTTAGTGTCTTTCATTTACAGAAAGAGATCTGGAGCTTATTCTCTGAGAGGGAACCCTCAACAGCATCCTCATGCCAAGACCTTCAGTCTTAGTTGGCCTGGATCACAAACATGCACATGTAGCTGGGAAGTCCTGGGATGTAAATCTAGGATCATTCCCTTGTAGGTTCATTGCTTTTTGCACAACTACTGACCCCTGCTCTGATTATTTGAAAATAGCTGTTAGATACCCTGGAAAATATTTCCAGTCTGTCCCCCATAGTATAACTTTCTGTTGTCAATTGGAATGTATCAGTACTTGCTTTTTGTTTTTTAATATGGGGTTGCTAGGGCCAGCAGGTGGTTAAAGGCGCTGATTCCGACATGACTGACTGTTGTTCGAGTCTTGGACCTGGCAGCTTGGCTTTGTCGCTTTCCTTTGGCTGTCTCTCTCCGGTCAAATAAAAAAAATAATAATAACAAATAGAGCTAAATAAATAAATAAATCTAAAAAAAATAAGAGAAAAAAATGTGAGTCACAGAGCCAGCAGGTGGCATGGTGGTTAAGGCACTGGACTTGTACATGGCTGATTTTGATTTGAGTCCTAACCCCGGAGGCTTGCTTTCTTGCTTCCTCTCCGTCTCTCTCTGGTGAGTGCATGTGACTTATAGTAAATATTTAAAAAGTAATAATAATTAAATAATAATAATAATTACTATTATTATTTTCGGTTTGGGGAGAGGTTTTTGCTATAGGGTGTGTGTACTCACCAGAAAGAGAGAGAGAGAGAGTCAGAAAGTAAGAAATCACCCCCATGGGGGATAGCCACAGTGCAATCCCTTCTCTCGGGATCTTGGGCGTGCATGCACACGCGCCCGATGTGAGTTTAAGCCACTGGCTCTGGGACTCAAACTGTGGTTGACTACATGGGAGTCTAGTGACATAGCCATTACACCAACTACTGGATTCTTTTTTTTGGGGGGGGGGAGAGTACATGGCACGTGCGCTCACCCCAAAGACATAGAAAGACAGAAAGGGAAAAATCACCCCTCAGAGGGGATGGCCACACCACAATCCCTTCTCCTCCAGTCTCCTCTGGGGATCTTGGGCATGCACCCACACGCCCGGTGTGAGTTTAAGCCACCAGGTCAAGGACTCGAACTGTGGTTGACTACATGGGAGTTCAGCGACATAGCCATTACACTAACTGCTGGTCCCTTTAAAAAAAATATGGAGTCACTGTGTTGTGCTCTTCCTGCCTCAGCCTTCCTAGCAGCTGGGATTATACCTATGGGCCACCACACCCAGCTTTTAGGGTGGGCCAGGAATTGAACCAGTGCCTCCCAAGTGATCTCAGTCTGCTGAGTAGCAGCATCTACTAGCATGTGATACTATAGTTGGACCTAGCAGTAGTTTTTAGGAGACAATGCTGTTTTAAACTTTTGTTGTATTAGCAGTTCCATTAGCGAGGCCAGCAGGTGGCATAGTGGTTAAGGGCGCTGGACTCCTACATGGCTGACTGTGGTTCAAGTCCTGGACCTGGCAGCTTGCTTTCTCTCTCTGTCTCTGTCTCTGCCTCTGTCTCTCTTTCTCTTTCACTCTCTCCCTCTCTGGTCAAATTAAAATAAATAAATAAAATTAAATTTAAAAAATTAAAAAAAAAAAAAACCAGTTCCATTAGCAACAACTGCTTTGTTTTTCTTTCTCTCTTCTTTTTGGCCAGAAAATCCCTGTTTGTCAGATACAGATGGCGAAAGCACCCCCAGATGGGGGTGTGGTCGTACCACAATTCCTTCTCCATTTCTCTATCCTTTTGGGATTTGGGGCATGCATGCACACATGCCTAAAGTACAATATTTTTAAAGCCACTGGGGCCAGGATTGAAATCAAGGTCAGCCATGTGGAATCCAGCTCCCTTAATGGCCAATAAGCTGGCCCTCTATCTTTAAACAAGAAGTCGTTTACATTGGTGTTTGCAGAGCTCCAGTGTGTCTGTACACACCGCCCCAGAGTCCATCTACACAGATTGTACACTGTAACAACCAGAGGTTACCATTCACATGTGGACAGTCATGCAGGGATAGACCCTATTTTCATTTTGATCAATTGTCATGTTTTTAAAACCTTGAAGGTATCTTATAAAAATTATACTGCCTTAAAAATATCCTCTTAGGGAATGGTGTAATGGTTATGTTGCTGAACTCCCATGTAGTCAACTGCAGTTCAGGTTTTGGACCTGGTGGCCTAAAACTCACGCTGGGCATGTATGTGCGTGTCCAAAATCCCAAGAGGAGAATGGAGGAGAAGGCATTGCAGTGTGGACATCCCCCAGAGGATGATTTCTTGCTTTCTGTCTCTGTCTCTCTAGTGAGTACTCATGCCTGATAGCAAAAATCTCTTTAAAAAAAAAAAAAAGATACACTCTTACGTGACCTTTTCTTCCTGTCATTTTCCAAATACACTTTAATCTTCACATAAAAATAGCAAACATTGCTTAAATGTGAGATATATATTTCTTTCATCCTTCATATTCCACTTTGTTTTATTAACAACATGCTCTCAGCACGTAATTAAATTATTTAACAAATACTATGTTAAATTGATGGGGTTATTGTAGTAACATAAATACAAAAATATTTAATATACCAGATGATTAAAATCTTTTCTTTGGGCAGAGAAATGTCATTCATTGAGAAAAGGCTAATCATTGGAAACTAATCTCAAGCACCCCATCTCCACCTTACAGTGGAAGGGGAAAATGGGGGAACAGCAACCTCTGGAGGAGAATGGAGGAGAAAGGATTGTGTTATGGCTGTCCCTGCTGGAGATTGATTTCTCACTTTCTCTCTGTCTCCCTGATGAACGCACATACCCTCTAACAAAAATCCCTCTTAATAAAAAGGAAAGGAGAGACTAGTAGATGGCTTAATGGTTATGTCGCTGGACTACCATGTAGTCAACTGCAGTTTGAGTCCCAGAGCTGGCAGCTTAAAACTCATGGGGCCAGCAGTTAGCGTAATGACTATGTCGCTGGACTCCCATGTAGTCGACCATGGTTCGAGTCCCGGACCCGGTGGCTTAAACTTACGCCGGGCACATATGTGTGCATGCCCAAGATCCCGAGAGGAGAATGGAGAAGGGATTGTGGCGTGGCCATCCCCCCTGGGGGGTGATTTATCTCTTTCTATCTCTCTGTCTCTCTCTGTCTTTCTGGCGAGTGCACACACCCTGTAGCAAAAACCTCTCAAAAAAACAAACAAACAAACAAACAAACAAACAAAAAACACCTCATTCCAGGCACATGTGCATGCATGCACAAGATCCTTAAAGGAGAGAGTGGAAACGAAGAGACTGTGATGTGGCCTTCCCTTCTGGGGGATGATTTCTTGCTTTCTTCCTGTCTGTCTTTCCAAAGTGAGTGCACATGCCCTATAGCAAAAATCTCTAAAACAAAGAAAAGAAAAAGAAACATCATCATCTTTGCTAAAACATATTTTTACTAGTTTGTATTGTGATAGGCACTTTAGAATATAGGTAGTTTCCTGTTGGGTTTGTTGACAAATCCCCACTTCTATCTTTTGATACTTACTTCCTTGTGGACGTCTTTGTCCTTTATTTAAGAAGGGGAGAGAACTTAATAATCATTGTACTTACATTTTAGTTCAAGAAACATTCCAGATTAAATATACTCTAAGAGAAAAATACCAGGAAATTGGGTGAATGTCAAGTCATTGTTTTTAACACTTTGGGGGCGGAGGACTATTATTTGGAGAAGATGCTTTAGTATTCTGTAGAAATACACTAGCCTTATTTTAATTTGCTGAAGAAAAGCCTAGATCTTAACTGGACCTCTTGCTAGTTTTGCACATTCCTGTCCAAAGGTAATTTTTATAAGAGGCACTCTGGAAACATTTGCTGAATAGCCTTGATGGAATTTAATTGACCAAAATGTACACCTCATCAAACTGTCTGCTCAGAAAGCACACTTGGGGTTCTCTACAATTGCAATGCTTTGTTCATTTTTCTGAATGTACTTTACAGGCTACTTCAACATGAATGGGAAGAAAGCAATGTTCAGATTCTGAAACTTCAAGCCAAGATGTTTACATATAATATCCCAACATGCCTGGCCACCTGGAAAATGTAATGCAACAATCATGTACATATTTTTAGCTATTGCTTTTATTTGTAAGGTTTGCTCCAGACAGGTAAATTTGAAATGACATCTATTTTTTTTCCCTATCAGACAGATCTCTACTCTAATTTAGATTTGTTTTTGACACTTGCTGAGGTTTCATACCAAGAGTGAGTGAGTGCTTAGTAACAGTAGCCTTAGTAACAAAAGCAAAATGGATAGATTTAATTTTCCTTGAAGGAGTACATTTTAGATAACAATACTGTTATAAAATAGATCTGTTAAGACATTTTAAGACCATCTCTTTTGAAATATGGGATTTCATTCCTATTATAGTTCAATTTCTTTTTTCTTTTAAAGGTTTTAGTGCCAGGTATTTTTCACTAGTAATCATGAGTTTTCTTTTTTCTTTTTTAAATGAACGTTATTTATGTTCAAAACACTGGTCTGCTTTATTCTTATAAAGTTGATAAAACTTGTTTAATTTTTCTTTTCACTATAGGTTACACTCCTTGGAATTTTAGCCTGTTACTTTCAGGAAGTTTTGTACTCAGATTCCCACAGTCAGTATTCTGCCAGTGGTGATACTTCATTTTTTTTCAAAGATATATAAATTTTTCTTTTCCCTTTTCTATATTCCTTTTTTTTCCCTTAGAGCCATTGCTGCTGAGATTGTTCTAAAGGGGCAAAGAGAGGTAAGCCATGATTGACTATCACATGGGTCACTTTTTTTTCTAAAAAAAAAAAAAGGTTTTATTTTGTTGACTTCTCAATTTAAAAGGATTAAATTATAGAAGTTAACATTCCAAGAACTGTATATATTTGGAAACCTTAAAACCCAGTGTAACCACTTTGTCCTGAATATTAGTGTGAAGTACCATTCTTTAAGCAGATATGATTATGGAGGTATTTTTCATCATGTTCTGATGGAATTGTGTGTGTATCTATTTTATAGGTCCACCGTTTATATCAGAGAGCCTTACAGAAGTTACCTCTTTGTGCATCCCTGTGGAAAGATGTAATACTTTTTATCTTTTATTTTATCTTGATGTTTTTCTATAAATTTTCTGCATGTGCCATATCCATTGATGTGGTAATGCTCGGACTCTAGCTAAGTCTTACTTCTATGCTTCCCTGTCTTTTGCAGCAACTCTTGTTTGAAGCATCAGAAGGAGGTAAAACTGATAACCTGAGAAAACTAGTTTCCAAGTGCCAAGAAATTGGAGTCAGCCTAAATGAGCTCTTAAATTTAAACAGTAACAAAACAGAAAGCAAGAATCACTGAACATTGGGTGCAGTCAGTTCTAAGTCCTTATAATAATTGCCAAAATTATTTGAATGATTCTTCAAGATTAGGCTGATCCCTGGCTAAGGTCTGTGTAAAGCAGACAAGCATTATTGATCATATCAAGTCCCCTGCAATATCCTATCCTCAAACCGGAAGCAATGAACATGATCCTCTTCAGTTGGATAAATGAACTTCCTGTTTGGCCTGCTTCTAGGCCCTGCCAGATTCTCATAACATCATGTACGTAAGTATAGTTCCTCAAAGTGACTGACGTTTATTTTAATTTTCTTTGTTTTTGTTTTGTTTTTTACTTTCCCCTTTTCTTTACGTTGTGCTATTCCTGATTCACTTGACACTCTCTGATGCCTGAGAGATTCTTGTTTGGGATTTAATTTCCAGGGCTGTGTTTACAGTAAAAAAGCAGGCAGTCCCTTTTAGTTCTTCTTTTTTAAATCTTTTGAGATTCTTCATTTCAGGATTTAAAACTTAACAGTCCATCTTAAGGAAAGTGTAACTGCCATGGCCACAAGTCTGCTAGTTGCACTTGAATGCTCTAACAGGGTTGTTTATTGCCCTTTCTACGTTCTGGACTCCTTGCCGAGACTGTTTAACTTGAAGATTAAAGAAACTATTGCAAATGCCAGTGCATCAGAACCTAAGAGTGGTCAAATATTATGTGCAATTTTTTTGTAAAGAAATTTTAATTTATAATAAAGTTTAACAGTTAAAAGAACAGTTAATATTTGAACTGCTTTGTATTGAAATACTACCTTGTAGTATTAAACTTGTTTATATACAAAATATTTTTAATATAAGTTAACTTTTTAAAAAACGTTGCTGTCTTTATTCACTTTTCACACTCTGGTGGGAAAGGGTTGAAGTAGGATATATAGATATTCAACATCATTATATCAATATTTTTTTGTTCTGAACCTGCCTTCCCATTAAAAAAAAATGCGGTGAGTTTTTAATTTATAAGAAGATGGGTCCTATTCTGTTTTGAGGGCAGTGGATAGATAGAGATACACTACCATTAAATTCCTTGTTCTCAGAAACCACAGTATTTAGAAATTGTCTCCTGACTGTAGTTTGAATAAAAAGCTTAGTGACATGCTGTTTTTCTGTTTTAGAGAGAGATTATTTGCTATAGGGTGCGTGCACTCACCTGAGAGATGGAAAGCATGAAATCACCCTCCCAGGGGGATGGCCATGGCCACACCACAATCCCTTCTCCGTTCTCCTCATAGGATCTTGGGCATGTATGCACATGCACCTGGTGTGAGTTTCAAGCTACCAGGTCTGGGACTTGAACCATAGTTGACTGTGTGGGAGTTCAGCAGCATAACCATTATGCCATCCAGTGGTCCCAGTGATATGCTGTTTTAAGTTGAATGTCAATATGACCAAATATAAAGGAGACCTAGTTTTGTTTTCAGTCTATATAGGGGGAGTTTCTACCTTGGCAAAAAAGGTACTAATGACAGACATACCTCCACACATGTGGTCTTGTAATTATATGCAATTGAATTTTTGGAGACAGCATAGCAGTCTGTAAAGTGCCAGGTGCCAGGTATTGTACACTTGTACATTTGTGTAGTACTTACTCAAAACCATATTTTGGGGCCTTACTAGAATGCCTACCAGACAGTACATACTTGGCTGGTAGATGTGTTTGTTGGGATTAAGAATAAAACTGATTTTATTTTTCACTTTATATATTTTGTTTATTTCAATTTGACCAGGAAGAGACAGAGTGAAAGAGAGAGAAAAGTGAGAAAGCAAGTCTCCAGGTCCAGGACTCAAACTGCGGTTTGCCATGTGGGAGTCCAGCACTCTTAACCACCATACCACCTGCCAGCCCCCTAGAACTCATTTTTTTAAAAAGAGATTTTTGCTATAGACTGTGTGTGCTCAAGAAGAGGCAGAAACAGAATGTGAGAAATCAAGACAGAAAGTGAGGGATGGCCATAATGCAATCCTTTCTCCTCCATCCTTCTCTAAGGATCTTGGGCATACACGCACACAAACCTGGTGTGAGTTTTAAGCCACTGGGTCCAAGACTTGAACTGCAGTTGACTGTGTAGGAGTCCAGTGATATAACCATTAGGCCATCTGCTGATCCCGAGAATAGAACCTATTTTTTTAGTGTCTTTCATTTACAGAAAGAGATCTGGAGCTTATTCTCTGAGAGGGAACCCTCAACAGCATCCTCATGCCAAGACCTTCAGTCTTAGTTGGCCTGGATCACAAACATGCACATGTAGCTGGGAAGTCCTGGGATGTAAATCTAGGATCATTCCCTTGTAGGTTCATTGCTTTTTGCACAACTACTGACCCCTGCTCTGATTATTTGAAAATAGCTGTTAGATACCCTGGAAAATATTTCCAGTCTGTCCCCCATAGTATAACTTTCTGTTGTCAATTGGAATGTATCAGTACTTGCTTTTTGTTTTTTAATATGGGGTTGCTAGGGCCAGCAGGTGGTTAAAGGCGCTGATTCCGACATGACTGACTGTTGTTCGAGTCTTGGACCTGGCAGCTTGGCTTTGTCGCTTTCCTTTGGCTGTCTCTCTCCGGTCAAATAAAAAAAATAATAATAACAAATAGAGCTAAATAAATAAATAAATCTAAAAAAAATAAGAGAAAAAAATGTGAGTCACAGAGCCAGCAGGTGGCATGGTGGTTAAGGCACTGGACTTGTACATGGCTGATTTTGATTTGAGTCCTAACCCCGGAGGCTTGCTTTCTTGCTTCCTCTCCGTCTCTCTCTGGTGAGTGCATGTGACTTATAGTAAATATTTAAAAAGTAATAATAATTAAATAATAATAATAATTACTATTATTATTTTCGGTTTGGGGAGAGGTTTTTGCTATAGGGTGTGTGTACTCACCAGAAAGAGAGAGAGAGAGAGTCAGAAAGTAAGAAATCACCCCCATGGGGGATAGCCACAGTGCAATCCCTTCTCTCGGGATCTTGGGCGTGCATGCACACGCGCCCGATGTGAGTTTAAGCCACTGGCTCTGGGACTCAAACTGTGGTTGACTACATGGGAGTCTAGTGACATAGCCATTACACCAACTACTGGATTCTTTTTTTTGGGGGGGGGGAGAGTACATGGCACGTGCGCTCACCCCAAAGACATAGAAAGACAGAAAGGGAAAAATCACCCCTCAGAGGGGATGGCCACACCACAATCCCTTCTCCTCCAGTCTCCTCTGGGGATCTTGGGCATGCACACACACGCCCGGTGTGAGTTTAAGCCACCAGGTCAAGGACTCGAACTGTGGTTGACTACATGGGAGTTCAGCGACATAGCCATTACACTAACTGCTGGTCCCTTTAAAAAAAATATGGAGTCACTGTGTTGTGCTCTTCCTGCCTCAGCCTTCCTAGCAGCTGGGATTATACCTATGGGCCACCACACCCAGCTTTTAGGGTGGGCCAGGAATTGAACCAGTGCCTCCCAAGTGATCTCAGTCTGCTGAGTAGCAGCATCTACTAGCATGTGATACTATAGTTGGACCTAGCAGTAGTTTTTAGGAGACAATGCTGTTTTAAACTTTTGTTGTATTAGCAGTTCCATTAGCGAGGCCAGCAGGTGGCATAGTGGTTAAGGGCGCTGGACTCCTACATGGCTGACTGTGGTTCAAGTCCTGGACCTGGCAGCTTGCTTTCTCTCTCTGTCTCTGTCTCTGCCTCTGTCTCTCTTTCTCTTTCACTCTCTCCCTCTCTGGTCAAATTAAAATAAATAAATAAAATTAAATTTAAAAAATTTAAAAAAAAAAAAACCAGTTCCATTAGCAACAACTGCTTTGTTTTTCTTTCTCTCTTCTTTTTGGCCAGAAAATCCCTGTTTGTCAGATACAGATGGCGAAAGCACCCCCAGATGGGGGTGTGGTCGTACCACAATTCCTTCTCCATTTCTCTATCCTTTTGGGATTTGGGGCATGCATGCACACATGCCTAAAGTACAATATTTTTAAAGCCACTGGGGCCAGGATTGAAATCAAGGTCAGCCATGTGGAATCCAGCTCCCTTAATGGCCAATAAGCTGGCCCTCTATCTTTAAACAAGAAGTCGTTTACATTGGTGTTTGCAGAGCTCCAGTGTGTCTGTACACACCGCCCCAGAGTCCATCTACACAGATTGTACACTGTAACAACCAGAGGTTACCATTCACATGTGGACAGTCATGCAGGGATAGACCCTATTTTCATTTTGATCAATTGTCATGTTTTTAAAACCTTGAAGGTATCTTATAAAAATTATACTGCCTTAAAAATATCCTCTTAGGGAATGGTGTAATGGTTATGTTGCTGAACTCCCATGTAGTCAACTGCAGTTCAGGTTTTGGACCTGGTGGCCTAAAACTCACGCTGGGCATGTATGTGCGTGTCCAAAATCCCAAGAGGAGAATGGAGGAGAAGGCATTGCAGTGTGGACATCCCCCAGAGGATGATTTCTTGCTTTCTGTCTCTGTCTCTCTAGTGAGTACTCATGCCTGATAGCAAAAATCTCTTTAAAAAAAAAAAAAAAGATACACTCTTACGTGACCTTTTCTTCCTGTCATTTTCCAAATACACTTTAATCTTCACATAAAAATAGCAAACATTGCTTAAATGTGAGATATATATTTCTTTCATCCTTCATATTCCACTTTGTTTTATTAACAACATGCTCTCAGCACGTAATTAAATTATTTAACAAATACTATGTTAAATTGATGGGGTTATTGTAGTAACATAAATACAAAAATATTTAATATACCAGATGATTAAAATCTTTTCTTTGGGCAGAGAAATGTCATTCATTGAGAAAAGGCTAATCATTGGAAACTAATCTCAAGCACCCCATCTCCACCTTACAGTGGAAGGGGAAAATGGGGGAACACACAAAGTTTTGGGTTTTGGGGGTTTATCTCTGATAAAGAAAATGAAGTGGTAGATTGTGGTGTGTTTTTATATTTTTCTTCATTTTAGAGAACAACCTAATATTTCTATTTGCCTTTTAACGGAAAGTGGACCTTGTAACATTGTTGTCACTGAATTATCTAAGGCGGTTTGCTTTCAATTAAAGGGTATATAAACCTACATCATAAAGTAAGCAAGAATCTCCAGGTGCAACATCTAAGAGCTAAAGGCACTAGGCAGACAAGCAAAAGGCGATTAAGACTGACAACAATGTAGAGGGGCTTTATTGAAGATTGTAGTTCAAATATTTATTTTTCAAGGTTGTTGA